CTGGCTAATTTTTTATATTTTTAGTACAGACGGGGTTTCACTATGTTGGCCAGGCTGGTCTTGAACTCCTGACCTCATGATCCACCCACCTCAGCCTCCGAAAGTGCTGGGATTACAGGCGTGAGTCACCGCACCCAGCCAACATCTCCTTTTTTAACTCTTCTGTCCTAAATGTGATAATTAAAGAGTCTAGCCATATTACAAATAGACAATGACTTCTAGTTTGGAGGTGGGTTGAAGGAACCATAAGACACTTGCGTTTTAAGTAAGATAGTCACTTCTCTTACCTGAGATATAATACCACAGTCGTGAGGATGGTAGAAAAACTCATAGTAGACATCTGGCAAAGAATGAGTTACAGGGCAGCCATCTCCTAGGAATACTTCATCGGGATTCATATACACATTGTGAAATATCGTGGGTTTAATCCTGGCACAGAACCAATACTGGGTGCAGTGTACTCGAATAGCTGAAAAGCAGAAAAGAGAAACTTTCTGTTAGCATGCAGTTACATGGATCACCTCAAAAAATTTTAGCATACCCAGTCAATACAAATGAAGAGATCATCCGTTACTAAAACAAAATGTCTTCAGAGGTGAACAAGTTTGCAAAATATGGTCTCTGTGTTATTACTTCAACCCCTAAAATACACGCATATATACTCATCCTTCAAATACACTCTTTAATGAATCTATATGCAGGGGGAAGAAATCAATACAAAATAAGATTTTTGTCTAACTCTCCAAGGTCACTTATCCTAGAACTAGAATCACAAGACTATATCTATAATATTTATACTAAGTATAGAGGATTTTCTGTCTCCCTTGTTCAACCAAAGCTCTTTGAAGCAAGCCCTTCCATTTTTATAGAAGCAAGCAAGTTTCCATTTTCATATCCACAGTTTCATGATATATAAAGACTTGTCCAGAAAACTCCAGCTAGCAATCAGGCTTTTATAGAAATTGAGTGAAAACAGTGCTATCCTTTCTCTTCTATCTTGAAATATCTGGATATTAGGCTTTTTAAATTTGGTATTGGAAATAATTTTCTGATATAATCTGCTACTTGAGATAGGTCCCAAGGAAGAGAATTAGAACAAACTAGAAATTATGACACTGGGTAGCATAAGTTTTTTGTTTTTGTTTTTTTTTTTAAGTTTGGCTATTCTTCTAGACTTCACTAAAGGGAAATTTTATCAGTTGCACTTAAGATACTAGAAGGAGCCTGAGTCAGGAGACACTGAAAACTAAGTAGAGAAACTGAAACTTTCTTCCCCTAGGCAGGAAGTGGTGGCTCATGCCTGTAATCCTAAAGATTTGGGAAGCCAAGATGGGAGGATTCCTTGAGGTCAAGAGTGGTAGACTGGCCTGGGCAACATTGCAAGTCTCTACACCACTACATCAGCTAATTTTTATATTTTTATTAAAGATGGGGTTTCACCATATTGGCCAGGCTGGTCTCAAACTCCTGGCCTCAAGTGATCTGCCCGCCATGGCAGATCACTTTTTTTAAATTAGCAGTTCATGGCTGCAGTGAGCTATGATGGCACCACCACATTCCCACCTGAGAAAGAAAAAAGAAGCAAGTGAGAGAGAGAGAAAAGAGAAAAGGGAAGAAGAAAGAGAAAAGGGGAAAGAAGAGAAAAAAGAGAAAGAGAAAGGCAAGGGAAAAGAAAGAAGATGAAGGGAAAGAAAGAGGAAGAGAAAGGAAGGGAGAGAAAGGAATAGAAAGACAGAGGAAGGGAAAGAGGGAACAGGAAGAGAAAGGGAAGAGAAAGAGAAAGGGAACAGGAAGAGAATAGGAAGAGAAAAAGGAAAAGAAGAGAAAGAAGAAAAGGAAAAAAGAGAAAGAGACAACAAAAGAGAAAGAGAGAAAGAGAAAGAAAAAAGAAAGGAAGAAAGATTCAGCATGGTTGCTTATGCCTGTTATACCAGCAATTTGGGAGGCTGTGGTGGGCAGATCACTTGAGGCTGGGAGTTTGAGAACAGCCTGGCCAATATGGTGAAACCCCATCTCTACTAAAAATACAAAAATTAGCTGGACATGGTGGCGCACATCTGCAGTGCCAGCTACTTGGGAGGCTGAAGCACAAGAATCAGTTGAACCCAGGAGGCAGAGGCTACAGTGAGCCCAGATCGCACCACTGCACTCCAGCCTGGGTGCTAGCGAGACTCCTGTCTCAAAGAAAAAGGAAGGGAAGAAGGAAGGGAAAGAAAAGAACAAGGGAGGGAGGAGGGAATGGAGGATAAAAGAAAGGAAGAGAAAAAAGAGAGGAGAGAAAGAAAGGAAGAGAGGAAGAAAAGGAGAAAGAGAGAAAGAAACTGACAGGCCCAGCTTATACTCAGGGCTACCAATCATTCTGGTTTGCTACCAATCATTCTGACAAGAGGTTAACAGGAGGCTAACAGCAGGAAAAGTACTGGAAAAACCTGAACCAATGGTCACCTCACTTAGGAGGCACTGAGTGCTCCGTCTCAAATGAAAAGGATCGCTGGAGGATAAGGTAAAGGAAGTCTCAGCCTTTATAAGGCTTTCTTCCTGTATGTGACAAACCACAGAGTCCTGAGTTCCTCCCACCACCTCTTCTGCTTTCCAGGCCACTCCACACTCTTTATATTAAACCCAGTTCAAGTATTTGAGCCCCAAGAATTGATATGGTCAGAATAAGATCAAAAGGAAGGGAGAGTTGGAGAAAGACAGTCTCAGGTTAAAGCGCATTCTCTGCCTCGGTGCTGATATGCAAGAGAAAAACATGGTATCTCAAGATCGCACATCTAAAAGAGACTGCACCCTTCCATGTGTGCTTGACTATTAAGATTCAACCAGACCAAAAATTTATGTAAAGAATCCAAAGCCACATCTTTCAGCCCTCTTTAACAAACTTCTATTCCCCAAGTCATAAGTTTTACCTGAGAAGTCCCCAGCACAGGTCCATATCAAGGAATGGAGAAAAAACAGCCCTTTTAACCTCAGAATGGTCTTCATTTGCCCAGACTGAAAACCAAACCTCTCAGGAAACAGGAAGTTGGGAGAATAGACAGCCTTATATGCAAAATACCTGAAGCCATACACAGGTGTGGGTCATTAACTACAATTTTGGCCAGCACACATGCCCCATGAATATAATTTTGTTTCATTTTCTAAAACGCTACACTTTTTACTCAAATGTCAAAAAACAAGAGCAAAGATAAAGCAAAATGTGCTGAGTATAACAGAAGGCTTCACTTGCTTTAGAGTCCAAAGCATCAGATATATTTTTATGCACTAAGCTTTACTTATTAAAACTTCCTATCATCCTATAACATCTGCCTCCACATCTGAACACTAAAGAAATAACTATGATAATTTGATTGTTCCATGCATCTCAGAAGGCAAAGCCCTGAGAACATGGGAATTTAAAGATTTCACCTACTTTCACCTGTTTTCACCAACTAATCTCTAAACAGTGGCTCTCCAACTTAATAGGCATCAGAATCACCGGGAGAGCTTGTTGAAGCACAGCTGAGTATCACTTAGTTTTCTGATTCACTAAGACTGGACTGAGACCTGAAAATTGATGGTTCTCACAAGTTCCCAGATGTTGCTCATTCTGACCACCCAGGGACCACACTTTGAGAATCCCTGGTCTACAGGGCTTTGCCTTCAGGGTTCACGCTGTATTGATGCCCATTAGCAGCATTGCTTGCTTCTCAAACTTTAAGGAGCATACACATCACCTGATACTCTTGTTACAATGCAGATTCTAATTCAGAATGTCTGGGGTGAGGGCTAAGAGTCTGCATTTTTAACAGTAATGTTGCTCTGCAGACTGCATTGCGAGTAGCAATGCCTGAAAATAGTCACACTTAGATTCTTTTCTTTAAAACAGAAGATGCCAACTTAAAAATGAGAAATTCAAAATTCTATTACCAAAAGAAGCCTAAATGAATGTTTGGTTCAAACACATTCTGATTTTTTTTTTTTTGTCTAATCCCCAGTTATAAGAGTTTAGCAACTGTGTCCTCTTGTTATCATAGCCATGTACTCATAACATAGGTAGGCCACCACTTGGCTCTAAGCCACTGTTGTCTGTAAAAAGTATAATTGCTCTGCTAACACTGTACATGTGCTCACGCTAGCACCCAGAGAAAGAGAGCCAAAGCCGTCCATCTTTGCAGATGGATGGAGGGAACCAGGGCACAGCTCGGCTTGCTGGTGCCCAGAGAGAGAAAGAGTTAAGCTGTTAACCCTGAAGGCAAGGGAGAGCGGGCCGTGCAGCTTTGTGTGGGAGCCTCTGGACTAAGGAGCCGAGACAGGGGGGGACAGTGTGAGAAAGCTGTTGATGAACGCTGCTGCTGAATAAAATCATCTCTCACTGCCTACAGCCCCCCTGAGTGTTCTGCACATCCACCCACTCCCTTCAGACCTCAACATGACATTTAGCGTAGTCGTGAACCTGGCAAGCCTCCTGCAGAAGAACAAGGACCGTTTCTGCTAGCTGCCGTGGCGGCCCCAGCCTCCGACACTCCTGAGCCAGGAGCAGATCAAGCAAATTGAAAAGGATCTGAAGAAATTCTCTAAGAGCCTTGAACAGAAGGAACGTTTGAGCCAGTCCAAAATCTCAAAGGAATTGGTGGCGAGACGGCGCACCATGTTGGAACACTTCCGGAAGTACCGGAAGACAGCCAGGAGCTCTATATGGAGCGGAAAAAACGAGCGCCTGGAGCTGCGAGGAGGGGGACACTGACGGGCTGGACAGCAACGTGGACGAATGGGAGGAGGAGACCATCGAGTTCTCTGTCACTGAAGAAATCATCCCCCTCGGGAATCAGGAGTGACTGGGGAGCGCTGCGTGCATCGCCTGTGGTGTGGAGACCAGGCGCCCCGCAGGAAGCCAGCGCGACTCCCGCCACCTCCCCGTGCTCTTGCTCTGGACTGTGACCTCGACTGGGATTCTGCCATTGCGACACATTTTTGTGCCTTTCAGCCCCTGGTGTCTGCAGGTGGGGCGGTGGGGGGAGAGGGTTAAGGCACCACTAACGCTTCTTTCTTGTTTGGGGCTTTCTGTCGGAACCACCAGCGTTGGCTTCGTAGACTCTTAGCAGCGCCGCCTGCAGGATCCCACTCGAGTTCAGAGGCCATGTAGTGCTCTGCGATGTACTCCTCAGGCCCGCCAACACCACGAACTGTCCTTGGGGACTCAAGAAGACGCCGTTTGTTTGCTGTTGGTCGAACATCTTGATGAGTTTAGTCTTCCCGTTGTTTTTGACGTGGTAGAAAAATACAGATATCCGCGGAGCCTCTCCGTGCAGCACGGCAAACTTACTTCCGTTTGGTTCCCAGGCAAAAGCTATGATGGTTTCTTTCATTTCGACCACATCCACAGGTACCTGTTTTTCCCTCATTTGGAAAATTTAAAAACTTGTGACAACACCCTGGGTACCTTTCGGAGTCATGTCTACTTTCACACACAAGTAATCTCCGTTCTTCTGCCAGTGCAGCTTGCAATCCACCACAATGAACAGTTTCCTCACTTGGATCTCTTGCCTGGTAGGGAGTTGCGTCGGGGTTACCCTGGCTGGAATATCTTTGTCTTAAGGCACCCAGAAGGCGATTATGTTACCACCAGGAGACCAAGAAAAGTCTTTTATCCCAGAGATCTTCAAACTCTTCTTATCCAAAAGACCCACAGAAGGAGTTTCATAGATACTAAGTGTACCCAGGGTCATTCTGGCAAAGAATTTACCATCATGACTCCATTTAAAAATATGCTAATGGGCTGAGCTCTCACGTGAAAATCTCTCTTCTTGTGCTCTGTAAGGATGTCCCAGATATTTATGGTCTGAGGGTCATCCTGCGTGTCCATCGGGGGCTGAAGGTTACCAGGTACCTTTCACAAGGTGAGAAGTAATGAGCTGAACCCTTTGGTGGCTGAATCTCTGAATTTTCTTGAATTTCTCTCCCCCCCTCCCATTTCATAGAGCAATGCCTCTTTGATGAAAGGTTACCAGGTAGGTGCCCTTAGGAGACCAACGCACATACGTTTTGTGTTGTTGATCTCTCTGTGTTGTTTCTTACAACTGGGTATGAATCTACAATTACCTCTAAATGATTTTTCATGTAACAAAAAAAGACATAAAACGAACCAACGACTACTTTAATAAATTAACTTGGATAAGATGATTTTCAATGACACGAAAATCAAACCCATAAAGAAAAACCCAGGGATGGGTCTGCCTTTATGAAAGGGATCTGTACTACAAAAAAACTAGCTGAGCAAAAACAATAGGCAAAAAATTTCACATTTAAATAAATAGGTATCATTTGCACCCTTCTGGGGAAAAATGTTTAAGAAGTTTGTTAACATCCAGTCATGATGGTTTTCTTGGAAATAGTATCATTTACTTCCTATAATGAAGTAAATTGATACATTTCCAGGGAATAGTATCATTTGCACCCTTCTGGGGAAAAATGTTTAAGAAGTTTGTTAACATTCAGTCATGATGGTTTTCTTAGAAATAGTATCATTTACTTCCTATGATGAAGTAAATTGATACATTTCCAGGGAATAATTTAGCAATAAATACTGTTTTTAGTATGTTTATTCTTTATCATAATTCCTAATTTAATATTTTATCCCATAGAAATATTGATATGATTGCAACAGTTTATCTTAAAACATATCAATTAACTCTACTGTTTGCAATATTAGCAAAGTAGAATCAATTCAACAATCCATCATTTGATATGAGTTAAATCAATTGTAGAATATCAATACAATGCACTGATATTCAGCAATTAAAAATAACAAAATAAACCTGTGTACCTACAGTATATATAACATACATGCCTATCACACATACCTATAGTATACATATATACACAGTACACGTACATATATATACAAAGTTTTCTATAGTATATATATAAATTTCTTGGCAAGAGCTATGGCATTAATTTTATATATATTACATAATATATAACATTGAATATTAATATATTAAATATTACCATACAATATATAATTTTATATAAATTATCTACATAATTTATATATTAATTTTTTATATATGCATACATACATTATGAAAAACTTTAGAAAAATTGATCACAATGGCTATCACCAAGGAATGTATTTGATGAGACTAGTTTTTTATGCTTAACATTTTTGTCTTGTTTGCATTTTATATTATTTCATGAATTTTCTTAAAGCCATCTGTCTTCATTAGTACTTCTCCTGCCCCCAGCTTCTGACAGAAATATGCTTAAAACTTACATACTGGATTTGCTTCACCTGATACACCTTTTAAGTCATTTTCTAAAATTAAGGACATTTTCAGACCTACTTATCTGATGCTTTTTAAACTATTTCTGAAATGGAAAAAGATAAACAACATAGTGTATAGAGTTATAGCTGGAAGCAGCATGCTAAAATATAGTTTTATTCTAATTTTTCATATTCATAGGCATCTTCCTTTCCTTTCTACAACAGCATACTTTTTATTTACATTTTAAATAATGTTTTAAATTGCCCAAATGAGTCATTAAGTAACTCTCTTAATAGACTTTTCCCATATCCATTCTTTGATTATACTGTGGTACAACTGGTGGTAGAAGCCACCCTAGTTGGCCTGCCATCATCCCAGCTGCAGCAGGGAGGCATCACCGGGGCTGCATGCTCCACACAGCAGGTAAGAAACCTGTCCTCCTTGGCAAGACTGCAGGTGCCCAAACTGCAGCTGCCAAAGTCAGGCATGCCTGCACTCTTGGGAACCTGGGATGGGCTCCACCTCACCCCACTCTTGCAGGCTCAAAGTACCTGCCTCCACTGTCTGGCTTCTCCCTGCTCTTGGGACCTGCTTCACTCTTGGAGCAAAGTCAAGCCAAGCCCGGGCACCATGAACAGCAGGAGGCAGCCAAAGTTCTAAGTGGGAGGGGATGGGTTTCCAGTAAGGTCCCTCTTTCAGGCCAGGGAGGGCCTGAAGGCTGGGGACAAGGCTGCCAGTCCCAACGACCCAAGTGGGAACTGGTGCCTTTTTCAGGCCCAACAATGGCCACCCATAGGCCAAATGGCATGCACTTCCTCCCCTCTGAGGCCCATAAAAGCCCTGGGTTCAACCAGAGCTGAGCAGACACAGGATGACCAGCTGCAGAGAGGAGCTACCCTCTCTGCTGAGAGCTTCAGAGACCTGCAAAGACAACCAAACTGCCTGCAGAGAAAAGCCACCCTCTCCAGGACTTCCTCTCTGCTAACAGACATCCAGAGGACCAGCTGCAGAGAGGAGCTACCCTCTCTGCTGAAAGCTGAACACTCCACAGACAACCTGCCTGCCCACAGAGGGGAGTTACCTACTGCCAGTCTCCACTGAGCTGTTCTAACCGTAAATAAAGCTCCTCTTGGTCTTCTTCACCCTTCACTGTGTGTGTACCCCATTCTTCCTGGATATAGGACAAGAACTCAGGCAAAGGCAGCACTGGCCACAAAAATTTTCAGAAAGAAAATTGACACCCCAAAAATCTCAAAACACAGTGACAGCATATTCTTGATCTTGTACAAATCTCAGTATAGGAAAAGGAACACTACTGGAGAAATTAATAAATATTTTCATAGGAATCAAAGGAAACTTAAGCTTTTTGAGAATCTTCAGATTAAACAGACTCTCCAGGAGATTACACATTGTTCACCCAGGAGCATCCATCAGCACCTGGCACACCACAGTGTCTCTGGTTATTCCTCCCCACCCTCCCCTCCTTCCCCACCCCTACTGTCTCTCCCCTAGCCCCTCAACTGCTCCCTGATGATGCTCCTCTCCCTGAGTCTACGTGTTCTTGTTGTTCAACACCCACCTATAAGTGAGAACATACGGTGTTTGGCTTTCTGTTCTTGTGTCAGTTTGCTGAGAATGATGGTTTCCAGATTCATTCAAGTCCCTACAAAGGACATGAACTCATCGTTTTTTATGTCTGCGTAGTATTCCATGGTGTATATGTACCACATTTTCTTTGTCCAGTCTATCAGTGATGGGCATTTGGGTTGGTTCCAGGTCTTTGCTATTGTACACAGGGCTGCAGTGAACATACACTATCCCCATCAAGCTACCAATGACCTTCTTCACAGAACTGGAAAAAAAACACTTTAAACTTCATATGAAATCACAAAAGACCCCGCATAGCCAAGACAATCCTAAGCAATTGATGATTTTAATAAAAAGCAGTTTGGGTACAGGGTCAGGGTAAAAGCCCAATTGAAATGAGTTTAAGAGAGAAGGGGAAGAAAGGAATGGGAAAGAGTTTTGGCAACATTCAGGGTAGTGTAGCCACAACAGGAGGAAAAGAAATATTGTGACAGCTATGGAGACAACTAGGCACAAGAGACAAAATCACAAAGGGGAAATAATAACATGAGTCTGGTGAAATAGTGGTGTACCTTAACTTTGCAGCTTGGTGATAAGTGGGGATATGGGGACTCAATACATAACTGTAGGCTGTTATAAGTTTGAAAATGTCCATAACAAAAACAAAAATGTGAGAGTTCCCCATATCAAAGTTGTTACAGGGTGACATACATCATGTGAAAGAGCAAAGACTCTATAGGTCAGGCCAAAGTTTCCAACTTAGAACTGGTACATACCTCTCACATTTGCAAGGCAGAATCCCTTTGGGTGTATTTACGAACACTTGGAGTCATAGGCAACCAAACTCTAACTCTCTCTCTCTCTAACTCCTTTCTCCTTGTGTTAAGAAACCCAAGTAAGAGCTCACTCTCTCTCTACCCATTCTCCCTCCTCTTCCTCTGCCTCTCCAAACAAATCTGCCTGGTGCTGAGAAATTTTAGGTTGGGAGGTTGGGATGAAATAAAAATTTGCGTGCTCGGAAAAAAACTTTTATCACTTTAGTTACTGTGCCTGATTCTAATAGAGTGATACTTTGCTAGTATTTCTCCTATAGTCAGTTCCCAGTGCTGAGGTAAGAACTAAACTTTTCTGGAGCCATAGCCCTAACACTCACAAGTTCTCACCTGAAACCTGCAGTCCTTCTTAAAAGTGGTCTTGTACAACTGAAAATTGGAAATAATACCACCTTCACTACATACTGCAGCTCTGTGCCAAAGGTGGTATTTCTACTGGAGAAGATACCCGAGCCTCAAGGACATGGTATGCAGCTGTTGCTCTGGATCTCATCAATCAAAAGCTGTTTGCATTTACTTGGAACAGACAACACTATACATGTACAGTGTTATCTCAAGGCTATGTTAACACTCCTACCCTCTCATAATATATTCCAAAGATACCTGGGCCACGTGAACATCTCAAGGAATATGACAGTGGCACACTATACTAACAATATTGTACTAACTGAGCTGGATAAGCAAGAAGTAGCCAGTACATTGGAAGAATTGGTAAGATATCTGAGTTCCAAAGAGAGGAGATAAACCCTATAAAGTTTCAGAGCCCCAACTGTAATTAAAATTTTTGTGCCCAGTGGTCTGGGACATGCTGGGACATTTCCTTCAAAGAAAAAATAATTGTGTCTTGCATCTCCCACCATGAAGATAAAATTATAACCCTTGTTAATATCCATCAGGGAGCATCCACCATAGAATTTCTAAACAAATAGGTGGACAAAACAACTTGGCCAGTTGGCATTGACCAGTTTTTGTCATTACCCACTCCACTGTTAGCACAAAAGAACCTGAACAGAATGGCTATGATGGCAAGGATGGAGGCTATATCTGGCTCAATAGCATGGGTTCTGACTTAACAAAACTAATCGAGCCACTGCCGCTTCCAAATGTCCAACCTGACAATAACTCTAAGTCCCTGAGACTTAGAGTTATCACTGGAAGAGACCAACCAGTAACTTGGTGACAATTTGACCACATCATAAGCCTACCAGGTATAGGTTTGCCTTCAGGGCCTTAGTCAACACCACTACCCAAGGGCTTAGAGTATTTAATTCACCACCAGCATAGATCCCAGATAACATCATGTCAGACCAATGGACTCATTTATAACAAGGACTGAAGGGCATTTTCAAGA